AAATGAAAACCCGAAGAAAATCGATGCAAAAATACGCCTTCTAGAGCCGATTTTCGACTTTTTGCATATGTTGAACTGTGGCACTTCCGGTTTTGCAAAAATGTTCCAATATATATTTCAGGAACACGTTGCCACTACAGAAGGTCTAGAGAAGTTGAATGGTTGCTGCAACTATTGCAGTCTAAGCTCAGGAAGGTGTGTAAGAAAAAAAAGAATGGACATTTCGATAACAAACTGCAAAGTCCCAGTTTGTTATCCAAAAAAAAGAATTGACATTTCGATAACAAACTGGGACTTGCGACCCCTAAGGGCAAATGAGAAGTACATAAATATTACAATTAAATGTGACGGAAAGGTACAAAGAACATTTACAAGATGCTAAATGTAACAGTATTGTTATTTTCAAAAGCTTTTCATTATTATAATTACAAATTTAGCTAAATTAGACAGCTGATTTTTGTTATTACAAGAAAACAATTGACTCATTTTTATAGTATTTGGATATATGTTATAATAGTGTTTTAAATAAAATCTTCTCGCATCATCGAAATAGGAACATTTATGAGCTTTTACTATGAGTATGGCAACCAATGGTTCCGCATCTAAATCTACAGAGAGCAGTGAGCTGATTAGCGTATAAGTATGACAAATAGGGTTCAAATTGGTGATTTGTTTTAAACATTTTATAATTCATACATAGTTTATCATTTGATAATGATTCTTACCAGGTTTGCTGGTAAATATCTTTAATACGCAGTTTGTGTGCGCTTTTGTGCCAAATTAGGTTAACAGTTTGGTAATTATTACAAACATATGACATGCCTGAGGAATCGAGATTATTTTTTAATTTTACTAATCCAGGGTGATCTATATATTTCTTCCGTGGAGACTTTTGAGAAGCATTAACAATGTGTAAGAAAATTTAATAGATTGTCCTTGAACAACCCCAAGCCAAAAACAGTTTGTATCAGAACTTGTAAAGGAAACGTGCCAGTAAATCATAGATATAGCTGTTTTTGAATTAAGTCTTAAAATACGCCTAAGAAAATTTCGGTA